TCGCCGGGACCCCACCCGGGCCGCTGAGACCCTAGGGTCTTGAGCTTCCCCTCGCCCCCATCCGGACGCCCAGTCCTGCTGCACGGGCTGGCTGGCTGTTGAAGCCCCTGCTGGGGGAGGGGCCCCAGATCCACTGCCCAGAGACTTAAGGGACACAGTGAGAAGTGGCCGGAGCAGGCAGTCGGGACGCCCCGCCGATTCCAGGGGCGGGAGAAGGCGCAAGGACAGTGTGAGAGGGATTTCTTCCTGGGTTTGGCAAGGCAGGAAGGACACCCGGGAGCTGCTCTGCCTAATCCACACTCACACCAGCCCCACTTCCTGTCTGCTAGCCGAGGAGCACAAGGGTTCTCAGGACCCCGTCAGGCCTCCAAGGAAGAGATGTTCCAGGAATCCTGCGTCCTGATTTCAAAGATGTCGGGGGTCAGGCTGGTAGTTCTTGTTAGGGAGACTGGGCGTGGTGGCTCATGCCTGTAATCCCGGCGCTCCAGGTGGCTGAGGCAAGAAGATTGCTGAGTTTGAGGCCAGCCTGGGTTACATAGTGAGTTCAAGGCCAGCCCGAATTACATAGTGAGATCCTGCCTCCAAAAACAAACTAAAAAAGAGACAGAGAAATATCAAGGACTCCAAGAAAACAGACTTGCAATGGCCCAGGTTGCCGGGTGTGTGAGAGACAGGCACAGAGGGGACTCAGGCTGAGCCGTATTCCAGACCGCAGTCCCTCCTGGGCGGATCAGTCTCTTCTCCCTGCCCTTCGTGAGCAAGAGAACTCATAATATAAGTGACCGCCGCCAGAGGATGCCCTTGGGACCGAAATCCAGTGTGAGTGGCCCTAGAGCCTGGGGTGGGGCTCTGAGGGACTCCAGTCTGATCTGTTCTATGCCTCTTCCTGTGCCCAGGTATGCGCCATAGTCAAGACAGCGAAACAAAAACAAAAATAAGCTGGGGATTTAGCTCAGCGGTTTGATGGCCTGCCTTGTCAAACTCAAGGACCGGAGTTCAATCCCCGGTACCAAAAACAAAAATTACAACTTTCAGCCACAAAATGGAAGAACAAATTGTATATCCAGCAAATGTCTTTTGTTTTGTTTTGTTTTTTTGAGACAGGGTCTCACTATGTATTTGATACTGACCTGAAACTCACTATGTAGCTCAGGCTGGTCTGTAATTCACAGTGATCCTCCTGCCTCAGCCTCCCGCATGCTGGGATTACAGGTGTGTGCCACCACTCTCAGCTCTAGCAAATGTCTTGTGCAAATAAAATGATAGCAGTATATGGTCTTTATAAAATGTATAAAGAACCTTCAAACTCAGAATAATGACCACAGAGCCAGGTGTGTTGGCACACGCCTGTCATCCCAGCACTCGGGAGGCTGAGGCAGGAGGATCGCTGTGAGTCAAGACCAGCCTGGGCTACACAGTGAGTTCCAGTTCAGTCTCAACTACATAGTGAGACCCTGTCTCAAACCCCCCAAAAAAGAATAATGAGCACAGGAAGGACAGTGGAGTGATAACCCTTTTGAATCTAGATGCAAAGTCTCTCCACGAAATGGGAGCAGACAGATTCCAGCAGCAGTTTTAAAGAATTACAAGCCATGACCCAGGAGGCGGGTGGCAGATGGGAATCCCTGGATGTGATACCTACACTGATGGAATGAAGGGAAACTCCCACAGCATTGTCCGTCCCAGCTGGGGCAGCAGAACCATCTGACTAACTCTAATTCTGTTTGTGAGAAGAGCCTCCATGCACAGGGCATGCCTGTAATCCCAGCACTCGGGAGGCTGAGGCAGGAGAATCACTGTGAGTTCCAGACCAGCCTGGGCTACAGAGTGAGTTCTAGGTCAGTCTCAACTGCAGAGTGAGACCTGTCTCAAAAACAAACAAAAAAGGAAAATCCCAAGAAAGCTCCTGTTGGAGCTAGAAAAACAACAAATTTGCAGGGTTCCAGGCCAGCATGTAAATATCAGCTGTAGCTGGGTGCAGTGGCACACACCTGTATTACCAGCTACTGAGGTGGCTGAGACAGGAGATCACTGGAGCTCTCCAGTTCAAGACCAGCTTGGGAATGCAGTGAGAGCTTGGCTCAAAAAAATAAAAATCAAATAAAAGAAAGGAAGGAAGAAAGAGGAAGCTGGGTATGGTGGCACAGCACTTGAGAGGCTGAGGCAGGGGAGTCACAGTGAGTTTGAGGGCAGCCTAAACTACATAGTGAGACACAGGCCGGGCATGGTGGCGCATGCCTATAACCCCAGCACTCAGGAGGCTGAGGCAGGAGGATCGCTGTAAGTTCGAGACCACCCTGGGCTAGATAGTGAGTTCCAGGTCAGTCTCAACTACATAATGAGACCCTGTCTGAAAAAACAAACAAACAAACAGACAAAATACATAGTGAGATACTGTCTCAAGGAAACCAAAAAAGCTGAGCGCGGGGGAGGAAGGCCGAACCTAAAATTCATGTGGAATTCTAAGGAACCCCAAATAACCAAAGAATCCTGAAAAATAAAACCAAAAGTCCTCAAAATTTCAAAAATTTAAAGCTTCAAAAACCTTCAGGAGGGCCAGGGATTTAGCTCAGTGGTTCCACTGCCTGCCTTGCAAGTGCAAGGACCCCAGTTCAATCCCTGGGTACCAAACACAAAACAAAACAAAAACCTTTGGGAATCAAGAGTGTGGCACTGTGTAAAGCTAGACATGCAGCTCTGTGGAATAGGTTGAGGATCTAGGCATAACCCATAAGTCACTGCCGATAGTTCTCCACAAGGCTGATTTAGCTTAACCCGACTGGCTTGAGAAACACTTTGTGCGTCCTGGCTGTTTATGGGTGGTGGGTCATGCACACATGACTCTGGGGACGTATCTGAGCCCTGGCCCCTTCCTCTCTGGCTCTTGCGCTGTCTCTTCTTCTGCCTTGGTGCCAGCCAGTCACGGACCTAACCCTCTGAAGCCATGCGACACAGTGAAAGCGTCCTGCTGTACAGTGGGTAAGTCACACATTTGGTTCCAGCAATGAAAAGCTGGTGAACGCAGGTGCCCAGACTGTGTGTGGGGAAGAACGTCTTTAACAAATGGTGCTGGAGGTTGGGGATTTAGCTCAATGATGCCACCGCCTGCCTCACAAGTGCAAGGTCCTGAGTTCCATCCCTGGTACCAAAAAATAAAAGGTGCTGGAACAACTGGATATCCACAAGAAAAGTATGGAGCGGGACTTTACCTCACACCATGCACAAAAATTAATTTAATCCCAGCATTTTGAGAGGCTGAGGCAGGAGGATCACAAATTCAACCCCAACCTGAGAAACTTACTGGTTTAGTAAGACCCTGTCTCAAAACAAAGGGCTGGAATGTAGCTCGGTGCAAAGGCCCTGGGTTCAATTCCCATGTACTGAAAAAAAACTTATAGTGGATTAAAAATGTAAGTATAGGCTGGGGATTTAGCTCAGTGGTTCCGGCATCTGCCTCGCAAGCGCAAGGTCCCAAATTCGATCCCCAGTAGCAAAAATAACTAATAATAATAATAATAATAATAATAATAATATCTAAAACATTAAATCCTTTAGCAGAAAATACACGACCTTAGAGAATATCTGACCTCCATGACCGAAGGCTCGGCACTGGTGTCTTGAATGTGACATCAAAGCACAAGAACCATAGCAATAACAAAAAAGTTGGATTGCATGAGAATCATTCTGCTGTGCCTCAGAAGATACTGTGATGGAGCTGGGCATGGTGGTGTAGCCTGTGGTCCCAGCTGCTCAGGAGACTGAGGCAGAAAGATCACAGAGCCCACAAGTTTGAGGCCATCCTGGGGAACAGAGTGAGACCCTGTCTTTTAAAAAAATACTATTGGGCCGGGGATTTAGCTCAGTGGTGCTGCCACCTGCCTTGCAAGCGCAAGGTCCTGAGTTCAATCCCCAGTACAAAAACAAACAAACAAATGATACTATCAAGAGCAAAAGGAAAGCCCATAGACTAGGAGAAAGTATTTAAAAATCAGGTATCTGAGAAGGGTGTAATAGCAGAACACATGAAGTACTCTTACAACTCCATTTAAAAGTAAGCAAGACACATGTTTCTTCAAAGAAGATATGCAAGTGGCTGGACTTGGGGGTACACATCTATAATCCTAGCACTTGGGGGGCTGAGGCAGGAGGGTCCCTGTGAGTTCAAAGCCAGCCAGGGCTACACAGTGAATTCAAGGTCAGCCTCAACTACAAAGTGAGACCTGTCTCAAAAAAATAATAATTAAAAAGAAGATGTACAAATGGCCAAGAAGCACCCAACAAATGCCCAACCTCATCAATCACCAGGGAAACAGTGAAAACCCCAGCAAGACACATTGCACACCCACTTGCTGGCCAGGGTAGACTGCAGTGAGAGCAGAGGACCGAGCCCTTGCTGGCCCTGTGGATGCCAGCCCAGCCGGTCCTCCATAAGCTGCACACACTGAGGTTAGTGTGCAACTTGAGAGCCACTTGATTCCATCCCCAGAAGTGGAAAAAAAAAAAAGTAACATATAACTCACGACGGGAATCCGTGCTATGTGGAATATACCCCAGAGACCTGCGGACAAGCATTCAAACAGACATGTGGACATGGGGCTTGCATCAGTGCACTTGCGATACCCCAGAGGTAGAATGGGTAAAGACGATGCTGCACATCCTTACTCTCAAAGTGTTCGCAGTCAGAGAAAGGAATGACGTGCCGGCACAGGCTACAGCCGGGGCCACCGTGCCTGGATCCTATGTTCAGTTTTAAAGTCAATTTTCCTGTCATCCCAGCACTCGGGAGGCTGAGGCAGGAGGATTGCTGTGAGTCTGAGACCAGCCTGGACTACACAGTGAGTTCCAGGTCAATCTCAACTACATAGTGAGACCCTGTCTCAAAAAAAATAAAAAATAAAAACAAATAAAGTCAATTTTACTGCATGTTAGTTTTTTTTTAATTTATTATTATTTTTTTTTGGTACCGGGTATTGAACTCGGGTCCCTGCGCTTGCAAGGCAGGCCACCAAACTGCTGAGCTAAATCCCCGGTCCTGTTTTTAAAAGTAGAAATATTTTTTTCTACAAAGATCTGGCTACTTAAGTGGTTGAAAGAACTGAAAGATCTGCCAGATTCTTGTGAATGTAATAAATTTGACAATGTGTTTAAGATCAGGGGATTTTATTCTGCTAAATGTATTTATTTATTTATTTTTATTTTTATTTTTTGGTACCAGGGATCGAACTAGGGTCCTTGCGCATGCGAGGCAGGTGACAGAACCACTGAGCTAAATCCCTGGCCCCTATAAATTTATTTTTTAAATGCCACCTGAAGTTTTGCAGGAGGCCTGGTTTCACAGTCAGTGGGCCCTCATGAACACGGCCTTGCAGTCTCCCTTTCCTGTTCCAGCCTCACCGCGCCAAGGCTACCAGCTCTGGAAGGCTGGACCCTGGCCAGTGTTGGGGTCTCCGGCTGCCCCACCACCCGCCTGGGATTCCAGTCCCCCCATCCTGGCGCCACAACGTTCCCTTACCCTGGCCGACCGCCAGCTGGTGGCCGCGCCCCAGGGCCCTGTGCCCGGCCACTGTGCTGTCCCCACCTGGCAGAGGGGCGGGAGGCTGCAGCAACAGCTGGGGGGGTGGCCCTGACCTTCCCTCACGGTCGATGCATCCGGACTGCGAGGCGCCAGGGCCCCTATAAAGCTCAGCACTGATTTGGGGGCCCAGTGCCCAGTGCTGCACCCACCATGGCCCCTTGCCCTCCACTTCTGCTGCTGCTGCTGCTGCTGCTGCTCGGGGGCCCTGCCGCGCACCCTGCACTGCCCAGGTGAGCCGTGCCATCCAGGTGAGCCCCCCTGCCCTGCTCCACACCCCACCTGACCCAAGGCTACCCGTCTCCAGGGCCGCACGACACTCAGACGGGACTTTCACCAGTGAGCTCAGCCGCCTGCGGGACAGCGCACAGCTGCAGCGCCTGCTGCAGGGCCTGGTGGGCAAGCGCAGGTGAGCCGGCAAGACACGGGCAGGTGGGTGATGTGCTGCTCTGCAGGGCACAGGCCCAACATGGTGCCACATCGCTGCCCCTGCCTCCAGGCCTCATTCTGATCTGGGGGGGGCAGCGAGCAGGACACAGAGAACAGTGCCGCAGGGTCCGAGCCTGTGGATGGCCAGCTGTGCCTGCTGTGATCCCACGTGCACACCCTGCAGGACTGGTGAGCACCCTGAGCCTTGCTCCCAGGGGCAGGGGCTGGGATGCCAGTCCCAGCCCCTAAGGCACTGTCTCTGCAGGTTGCCCCTAGGGCACCTCCCGGGCCTCTCCCCATCTCCCTGGCTGCTTCCTGGCCCCAAACCTGGAGCCAAGATTTCAGAGGCTGCAGGAGCTACACGGAGTCCTCAGTGAAGAGGAGGAGCCCAGCGCTGGCAGGGGCTGGGGCTGGGGCTGGGGCTGGCTGTATGTGACACAATAAAGCAGTTCCCGGGTTTCCCAGCCATGGCTACACCTCTGCTAGGTGGGCTTCAGGTGGGGCGCTGTGCCCCCGCTGAGTCCAAGGGCACCTCGCCCTCACCTCCGTCCTCCGGCTCAATGTCCAGCACCCACCCCTCACCCTGTCCCGAGCCACATGGCCAGGTGCACACAGGAGTGAAGGGCCACCCAGAACCCCGGGAGCCCCAGAGTGCAAGGACCCCCAGAGGACACCCTGCTGCACAGGTGAAGGTGGGGTTCCTTGCGGCCACCCTCCTGACCCAGCTCAGGGTTTGGGGGTGAGGAAGAGGGGGGTTGGGAGCTGAGAGCCCTCACCAGACCCTGCGGGAGGACTCGGGTGCCCTGAAGCCCTCCCGTCTCACCACCCTGCAACACAGCCCCAGTTTCCTGACAGTCAGAGGGCACCCCAGGACACCAGAGCCTTTCCCTTGGACCGTTCAGGGAGAGGGCCTAAGAGGGACACCCGGACACCGGGGTGTGCACCCCGAGAGGTGGCCTCGGAATCTGGCCCAGAGGACACGGGGAAGTGGTGAGCAGGAGGCAGGGCAGGGGCTTAACCCAAGACCAAGGGTGGAGCCCCTTCAGCCCCAAACCTCCCACTTTTCCACAGCCGTCCCCACCCCTGTCCTAGCCTTGTCCCCAGCTCTGCCCCCCAGCTCTGTCTCTCAGCCCTGTCCTCCCACCCTGTGCCCAGCCGTCCCCCACTCTCGACCCAGCCCCGTCTCAGTCCTGCCCCCGGCTCCCCAAGCCCCTGGCCCCCCTCTTGGGTGGTGGCCTGGCCGGCCTGCGGGAGCCCCCTTGGTGGAGCTGTCAGCAGGGCCATAAAGCAGGGCGGCGCCTGGCAGGGCAAAGGTCGGTCGCAGAGGCAGGGAAGGCCTAGCCCTGGACCGCAGACCGCCAGACCCTTCCGGCAGGTGACAGCCGCCAAGATGGGGGCCGGGGCCCCTCTGTGGGCTCCTGTGCTGCTGCTCCTGGCACTGCCAGGCCAACCCCCGGGGGCAGCAGCCCAGAGCCAGGGTAGGTGCTGGCCAGGGCATGGGGTGGGCACGGGGCAGGGGCTGGCAGGCGCCAACTGTCCCCTCCACCTCCCAGCCTGCTCAGTGGACAGGACCTTTGTCAGCATCGAGGAGAACAGCAGCATCACGAAGGCCCTGGTGAACATCTCCGTCCCGGACGGCCAACACGTCACCCTGGGGCCTACATCCACCGCCTCTGCCTTCCGGATCCTGGAAAACCAGCTGTTCCTCAACGTGACCCCTGATTACGAGGTGCGGGTGGCAGGCTGGGGGATCCCATGGAGAGGATTCAGAGAGAGACAGGAGTACTGGGGGTAGGGCCGTGTGGGGACGGACGGAGCTTTGAGGGTGAGGGTGATGGTGAGCAGCTGGGGGGCACCTGCCCTTGGCTCTGAGGGTCACAAGAGACCTTTGTGGCCCGCAGGAGAACACCATGCTGGAGGCTCACCTGGAGTGCAGGAGGGGCAGCACGGTGGTGAGTTCTCCCCACCACCCTGGCGCAGTGCCCCAGGGTGACCTCAGCCTGGTCACTGTCAGACATCAGTGTCTACTGGCTACGCCCCAACTGCCCCAGCCCAGATTATGCCCTGAGCTTTGGACCCACACGCCCAGCCGAGGACCATCCTTGATGCCTGTGCAGAACCCCCAGGCCTCGACCCCACACCAGCACCCTGAGGGGTTCACTTCACCCCCCAGCACCCACTCTCCTCCCTCACACACCCCGCACGGTGGGCAGCCCCAGCACCCACCTTCCCTCCTCGAGTCCCTCCGGGGTCTCAGCACCACACATCCCTCCTGGAACCTTTCCTCCTCCGCCCAAACCCGTCCATTCTCAGCCTAGAGACACTCAGGCCTTCCTGGGTGCTTCCCAACTTGGAGTCAAAGCCAAATGTGGACACAGCCCGGGCACATGTTCCTCCTGCCCACCTGTCCACATGGAAGCATCCCCTCCCGGCAGGTTTGGCCACCCAGGCTCAGCTTCTTAGCCTCTCACGAGGGAAACTAAAATAGGTCCTATGGGCCCTAGCTCCAACGTGGGTCACCTCATGCCCTGCACCCCCGCCCCACACCCCAGCAAGACCTCAGTCTGTGTCTCTAGCAGACAAGGACCCCTCCCTAAATGTGGCCTTGGGGGCTGGACGGTGTTGTGCACCAAGCCCCGGTCTGTACTCTGGGTCCCGAGAGAGTCAGCCTCCATGTCTTGTTTGAGTTGGGGTCGGAGCAGAGCTCAGACGACACTCCTGGCTCATACTCCCTGACAGTGTCTTTAAAGCAATCTACAGGCCATCTGTGTCTCTGGTTTTCCCGGTTGTGCTCTTGAAGACATGAGATTACGTGTCCCATCTCTCATCCGAGATCCTGCTGGTCACTTCCACTTGTTTCCCAGAGTACTTCCCCCTTCTGCCAGACTGCGTCCTCACTTCTACTCACTGTGAACCCCGGCTAGCACTGAAGCCCACAGGGCAAGGCCCGTCTTGTGCAGGCCCTGCACCTAGCACCAGCTGCTAGGCCGATCTTGGGATGGATGAATGACTGAAGGGATGTGTAAGTGGAGGAAGAAGTGAGGACCAGTGCAGAGGCAAAGCTGTACCACCCAGAGGGATGGGGAGAGACCGACAGGCTGTGATCCCCAGGTGACACAGCTAGTGGTGCTGGTGTCCGTGCTGGACGTCAATGACAACGCCCCAGAGTTCCCCTTTACGATGAAGGAGCAGAACGTGTTGGAGGTGAATCTGAGCAGCAGAGCAGGCTCCCTCTGCTTGGCGCAGTGAGTGTGGGCTCCACCCTCATCCCGGGAGCCATGAGCCCAGCCCAACTGAGCCCCTTTCCACCCAGGACACCAAAGTGAACTCCATAGTCATCCCAGAGGATGAACTGAAGGCCACCGACAATGACACAGAGGATGTCTTGTTCTACACCCTACAGGAAGTGACCCCTGTAGGTGCTGCCCTGCTCCCCTAACAGAGACCCTCCCTCAGCTGCCCCATCCCCACCTACTAGGGTCTCAGGCGTTGCCCCCCAACCCCAGAATGCCAAGAGCTTCTTCTCCCTGGTGAGCGTGAACCGCCCTGCCCTGAGGCTGGACCAGCCCCTGGACTTCTACAAGTGGCAGACCATGACATTCCAGCTGCTGGTCCGGGTGAGCCCCTCAGGTGCCCTGAAATCGAGCCCTGACTGCCCGGGCCTCCTCCAGGCTGCTCCCAGTCTGACATGGCAGGGGCTGCTGTTGCAGGACACTCAGGGGGAGCTCGAGGTGCCCAGCCACACGGCCACGGCCACCCTGGTCCTGCATGTGCTGCCTGCTGACCTGAGGCCCCCCTGGTTCCTGCCCTGTGCCTACTCAGATGGCTATGTCTGCATCCAGGCCCAGTACCACGGGGCTGTCCCCACGGAACACACACTGGTAATGGGGCTCCTGGGGATAGGGCTGTCCCCACAGGGCACTGGTAAGGGGCAGCTGCAGACCTGCTGGAGTCCGGAGTGACGTCAGGAGGCACAGGTGGGGACAAGGAGATGGGAGAAGTTACTGCTCCGATCTTGAAGCTGATGTGCACAAATTTCTTTGATGAACATGGCCTCCAGCCTCGGGTACTGGGTGGACACAGGGAAATCTCGGGGGGCCTAGGGCCCGGCAAGGCCAGCCAGGACTCCGGTACTGCAGGCCCAGGCTAGTGACCCCCAAGCAGCTGTTCCTCTGCCTGGCTTGTGGTCACCATGGGGGCCAGTGGTGCCCTTGGGCAGGTGGAGCCAGTAGGAGCCCTGGAGCCTGAGCTGAGCCAACAGGTAGACATTGGCCCCTTCCTAGTGCTTGCTCCCCAAAACATTGGGCCCAGCTGTACCAGCCCTACAGGATCCCCTGTCTCCACAGCTGTCCCCCCTCATCCTGCATCCTGGGCCCATCTATGCTGTGGACGGGGACCGGGGCATCGACGTGGGCATCATCTACAGCATTGTGGGGGGTGAGTGAAGACTTGGCCCAGCCCAGCTTGGAGCCTGACCACAGCTGCAGGGACTAGCACTGACTAGCTTTCTTTCAGGGAACACAGACAACACTTTTGTCATTGACAAAGACTCTGGCAACCTCACCATGGCCAAGAGCATCCCCAGCCCCACGACCTTCATCTTGCTGATCAGGGTGGGTGCAGTGTGGAGTGGCAAGACTGGTGACTGAGCTCTGCCTTCAAGCCTCTGCGGCTCACTGCTGCCTCCCTCTCTCGCCAGGGGCAGCAGACTGACATGGCCCGATACTCGGTGACCCAGGCCACCGTGGAGGCCCGCTCTACCACTGGGAGACCACCTTACTTCCCCCAGAGCCTGTACCGCGGCATCGTGGCACCTGGCTCCGGGGCTGGCGTGGCTGTCCGGGACGCAGCCTCCCCGTCTCAGCCTCTGAGGATCCAGGCCCAGGACCCTGACTTCCTGGTACACATCCTTCTCTGCCCCAGCAGAAACCCTGAGACCTGGGTGGGTCCCTAGGTTGGAGTGACTTCTGGTCTGCATGGTGGCTTGGGATATATGTGGGGTGGCTGCACCCCAGGACTCACTGTGGCCATATCCAGGGCCTCAACTCGGCCATCACATATCAAATCACCAACTGCTCTGAGTTCCGGATGGATGGAGAGGCCGTGCTGACTACCACAGCACTGGAGCACGAGGGAGTCTTCTATGCAGAAGTGAGGTGGGGGACATGTCTGCGGGAGGGGGGTGCAGAGGGCCTCAGGAGGGTCAAGTCCCCTTCCTGCCTCAGGTGGAGGCCACAAACACCGTGACCAACAACGCGGCCACTGTCGTTGCTGAGATTTGGGTTTCAGAGCAGGGGCCTCCCGCCATAGGTGAGCCTTGGGGTTCCCCAGCTTGGTGGCTCCTCCACTGGGGCAAGTGGGAAAAAGGTAAGCCGAATGCTGTCCCTGGTCCCCCAGGACCCCCAGAGATCCCCCCATCCCCAGAGGCTGGAAGAACATCCAAGCCCTCAACCGACACAGCCACAGAAGCCCCCAGGCCCCCCGGGACCTCTCAAGAACCCTCCGCGACCAGTCCTGGGGTGGCCACTGGCTCTCACCCATCCTCAGGCACATCTTTGAGGCCGGCCACCCCAACCACACCTGGGGGGTTACCCGGTGTGGAAGCCAGCACCACCCTTTGGCCAGTCACTCCTGGTGGGGTCTCAGCTCAGACCCCGAAGCCAGGGACCTCTCAGCCGATGACCCCTGTGTCCAGCAGGAGCTCCTCAGCCTCAGGTAGTCCCCATCCCATTTTTCCTGCCAGACTCAAGGTCCTGGGTGGTCCTGGGGATGCTCTGGGACAGGGTCCACCTGGGCTGGTCCAGTCTGACCACACGAGAAACGCAAGGAGGGTCTGACCTTCTCTGGGATAGCTGAGTCCAGGGACTCGAAGAGCTATAGGGGTAGCAGCCAGACCTGGGATCCAGTGAGGACCACAATTTCCAGGACTGTTTGTGATTTAGTGTCTCAAAATAGAAAGTATTTCTGTAATGATTAGGAGAGGCACAAGTTGGAAATTAAGATCACATGGCTGACCCAGGTGTGGTGGCATACACCTATAATCCCAGTAGTGGGGAGGCTGAGGTAGGAGGATTACCATGAGTTCCAACCAGCCTGAGCTACACAGTGAGCCCAAGGCCAGCCTGCACTACAAATTGAGACTGTTTTAAAAAACAAAAGCAAACAAACAAAAACATTGCACGAATGGGTGCAGTATGCTTCCTATCATCCCAGTTACTCTGGAGGCAGGAGGATCACTTGAGCCCATGAGTTTGAGGCAACCTGGATAACACAGGAGGCCCTGTCAAAAAAGATGGTACAGCTTACAGGACCTGGGGTACTGAGGACAGAGGGAGCCCACACAAGAATGTGTGGAGAAAGCCATGGGTCATCGCCTTCCTGGGACACAGGACAGGAACCAAACCAGTTCCCCAGGGGACCCTTGGTGTATTTGAGGCAAACAGGTGCAGTCCGAGGAGGCCTGGCATAGAGGCCACGGAGTATGGTCAATGGGACACATTCAGAGCCCAGGGGCAACATCCAGCCATCCACAAGGAGGTAAAGAAATGGATTAGATTTAGGGGGCCCTGCGCCTGGCCCAAGGACTAGTGATGCAGTGCAGGTCAAAACGCCTCCTCTAAGGTGAGCCCCACCTCGCCTGCTCTCCTGGGTCTCCACGTCTCCAGAGAGTCTCCTGACAGGACACAGCACCTGCTCTTGGGACCTCAGCTCTGGGGAATGGTCCCGGCCATTTTTTGGTCGGTGCCCAGGCTGATGCAGGTTGGCAAGGGGCAAATTGTGCTCCTCCAACAGTAAGTGGCCATGGTGCCTTCACAGGGACACCGGGAGGCGGCAGCACTGGCCAAGATGGTGAACCGGGTGGCCCCGAGGAGCTGCGCTTCTCAGTGGTGGACATGGCAGTCCTGGGAGGGGTGCTGGGCGCACTGCTGCTGCTGGCCCTCATTGTCCTGGCCGTGCTCCTCTATAAGCACTACTGGCACCCACTGTATGGCTGCTCTGGGAAAGCTGCGGTGAGCCTGGGCCAGGGGCAGGAGTACAAGGGAGCAGAGGGGCAGAAGGACAGACAGAGGACAGGGAGTGGGGGGCGGGTGGAGAAAGGAACTAGGGCAGCCACAGGGAGAGGGACGCAGGGGAGACAGATGACTACAGAGGGCAAGGCAGGTGGGAGAGCTTGGAGAGAGACCTCTGGCTACCCTGGGAGTTGGAGCCCAGGTGCTGCCCCTGACGGCCTTGTCGGCCCTCAGCCCTGCAGCTTTGACAACCAGGCCTTCCTGGGTGATCACGAGGCCACCAAGGCATCCATCCCCAGGCCCGAGCCGGGCTCCACACCTGTGGAGACACGACCTGCACCCCTGGATCCTGAGCCCCTCGGCCCCACACCCCCTGATCCTGAGCCCCTAGCCCCACAGCTCCCTGGCCCTGAGTTCCCCATGGCTGCTAGAGCCGCTGGGGACAGCCCCTCAGCAGTGAGGTCCATCTTGACCAAGGAGCGGCGGCCTGAAGGTGGCTACAAGGCCGTGTGGTTTGGCGAGGACATTGGGGCAGAGGCTGACGTCGTGGTCCTCAACACCCCTGGGGCTGGCGAGGTTGGCGATGGCGACTCCGAGGGCAGCAGTGAAGAGGACGGGGTCCTTGACAGGGATCCCTGCGACGCACTGGGTGACTCCACCTACATCTAGTGCCCCTCACACACCCCGCCCGCTGTCTTCTCCCCTGCTGTCTCCTTCTTGCAGAATAAAGTGGCTATTCCGACCCCAGAGCCGTTGTGTATCGGGCTCGCTATGGCCGCTGGGAGGGTCGCGGTCCCCACCACTTGTGGCAGAGGAGGCCCGGGCTTCTCCCAGCGTCGGGGAATTTCTCGCACTTGTCACCGGGCAGTCGGCCCACAGCCCCGCTGCGCCTCCCAAGTTTTCGTTTCCGGTGCTGGATGCTGCGTCTGCGCCGCCCTCTGTGCAACCCAAGCAGCGTCCCTGCTTCCTTCCACCTCCCGTGGGTAGCTTGGCACAAAAAGGGCCTGGCTTGGTTTGGGGTTGAGTTTTTCTTCTACGTTCCTAGGGCCCTGGCCCCCATCCTTGTCGCCGCAGGGCAGAGGGGACCACGCCCCTGAACGGCCCGCGGAGCCTGCTTGGCTTCTGCAGCCCTGGCCCCATACCTGTCCCGCCCCGTTGCCAGGCTCCGCCCCTGGCCCAGTCTATAAAATCGCTGCTGCTTCCCTCCCCCTTCCATGAAAGCTTCCGCCCCGGCGGCTTCGGCACCCAGGTATGCACAACCTCTGACCTACGGGAGCAGAAGGGGAGCTGGACCCCTGGGCACCGCGGAGCCCTCGTCCGCTCCACGGGCAGCGCCAGGCCGCCGAGCCAGAGAGCAGAGGGTCGCGGAGAGAGTTGGGGCAGAGCGGCTGGGCTGGAGCCAGATCGGGGGCTGAGCAGACCGGGATC